AAGTGCAAAAATGGAAGAGGAATGAGAGTTTTCTTTAAGGCTAGATGTGATGAGTTTTGATGAATTTAAATTAATTAAAAAAAAAAAAAAAGTTTTATTTTGATGAAACAAACATGGTAGAAAGAGATCAAAATTCTCCAATGCATATAAGCTGCAGCAACTTTCCTGTGGTAAGATTCAAATCTTTCCCTCTTTTTAATAACTTTTGTGACTTTAGTCCAGATTTTCCTTTCCACTTGCTTCCTTTTTGTGAAGCCTGGAAAGAAAACCACTAACCTTGATTGAATTAATCTCACAAATAACTAAATCCAAAGAAGTATTAAATTATCTTTAAGACATTTGTCATGGGGTGGCTTTACCTTTAAGGTGGTTTTGGGAGCTAAGGAAATTGAAGCTGCTGGTGGCTGATGGGAGTCTTTCCTCCTGACCAATTAACAGTCATTTCTAAGAATTGACAGCAGTTTTGACCATTAAAAAGTGAAGTCAAATTGTAAACACCTCCTTAAGATGTAAAGCCAGAGCACTCTTGTCTCTCTTTGACTCCTGGCTGTGAAAGGTAACAGAGCTCCAGGCCTCCCGTTCCCTGCCCAGCCCATGCGGCCGGGCGGGGGCTGGGCTGGGCCTGCCGCGGCTCCCGGCCGGGAGATGGGGCCTGCGGGGCTTGTCCTGGGCTCTGGCCGGGCCAGGCCGGTCCCTGGCTCGGCTGCAGTTTTTGCTGGGACTGAATTCACCAGAGACTGCCGAGGAAAGAAAGGTAAAAAAGCTCTTGAGCTGCGGCAGGCTGAGACAGTGACCACACTCTCCAGAGCAGCCATGAAGAATCTTCCATCGCAGACAGCTCCAGCTGCTGCTCCGGCAGAGATCACAGAACCATCTACAAAGCCTGGGCAAGATTTTAACCTTTTCATTACCCAGATGAGACTTGCAGATTAATCCTTTTATCCAGAGAGAGAAAAAGAGAGTAATCAACATGTAAAGAGACTTTATAAACTATCAGAGACAGTAAAGAAAAGAATTAAGCTCCAGAAAAGGTAGAGAATAAGGAGATGCTTTATAAGCTGAAATATTTTTCTGTTAAAGCTATGGAGATGGACAATAAGGTCTTGAAAAAAACTCCTTTAATTCATGACAGAGTATATAGGGAGGAATAGAGTGTTCAAAGTGTGGATTTTGAGTAAAAAGTAGAGTAATTGTGATACAGTGAGTTGCTGGAACAGAGTGAAGCGAAAATTTGAAGCCTTGGGGGGCAATGAGAAAACTGTTTTTCCAGTGGAGCTCACAAAGACAGATGAAGAAGACTTTTGCCTTTGAATAACTCATCCTTAAAATGAGATCCCTAGACTCGTGGCCCATACACACCTCAGAGTGATGTGAAATGGGAGGAGTGAACTGATGACCAGATTTCTGGGCAGCTGACATCAGAAAAATAAAAAGCTATAATAGAAATAGTTTTCTTGTGAGAAACTCCATAGATTAGCAGAAGAAGACTTCTGTTTCTCTACAAAAACTGATGAAAAGACTCTAGCAAGAATTAGGACTGTTTTAAACACCAAAGTTCCAAAGTTTTTGTCTCTATGTTGTCATGTGAACAAGGGAATGGTGGGTAGTAGGGGATAAAAAGGGTTTTCTGGAAGTTTATTCTGGTGTTCTTATTCTTGTAGTTTGTTAATAAACTTTCTTTATTCCTTTTTAAGTTTTAAGCCTGTTTTGCTCTTGCTCTAATCCATATCTCACAGCAAGAAATAAGTAATTTTTTTAGTTACTGCTTTAAAACCACGACAACATTTCAATATCTTTGAGCATTATTATTGAGAGACTGCCAGCTATTCACGACTGTTCACAGAAGTATCAGTGAACACCGTTTATTTCTATCTTTAGCACACCTTTTATAGGGTTTTATAGGGTCTGTGGGCTAAGCAAGTTACCATTGGCCAATACACACAGGTTTACATTTTTTCTCCTGTACACAAGGATATTGTTTTGCTTTATTCTCTCTCCTGCAGGAGAGTTTCAAGGACTTTAGCCTTTAATATCACGACTTATTCCAAAGGATGGTTTGTGCAGACAGGCCTTTACTAATATATCATGCCCACCTTCTGTTAAAATATTCACTACACATTATCAGCAAGGTTGCTGCTAAAGTTACATTAATATTCAAATTTAAAATGTAATTGCTTCTAGTTTTTACAAGTATTATGCTATGGTATCATATGCTTATGGAAAACACTTGTTTAATTAATTTTTTCTGAAATGGTACAGTTCATTTGTTGGGCAAATAAGCTGTTGCATACATGGTGTTAACACTGTTACATCATCAGGAAATGGCCATCTAAAAATCAAATTGAACAATATGAACAGTTTCTTTAACCCAATCCAGGTGTTGTAAAGCCTCCACTAATTACAGTCCTTTACCTTTACCAGTGACTACTTAGTTTAATTTTTCTCTGTCTTCACAACTTTAATGAAACACAGAAGCGTGTGGGAAATTAGTCAATAATGATCATTTGTTAAATTTTAACACTGAGATTTAAATCACAGATTACTCTTAACAAAAGTCTTGGACTTTTGACCTTTTCAAAGGCTGTGTGCACTGCTCATGGTAAATGTGCATCTCTTGCACCATGTGTCTGTGTGTGAAACATATACAATGTCATGAGACTGAGTAAAGGAAGTACTTGCATGTTCTATCATCAGTACTCTGGCAGGAATTCTAATTCCATGGAGCAGATAAATTTTGCTATGAAAACATTAAACACTTTCTTTTTTTCCCCCAAATTATTTTCCTATGGAAACATCACTACTCTGTGATCAACCAGACACAACAGCACAAACATCTCAAATCTTCACCAAGCACGAGCTTCTGCAGTGAATGACCCAGTGCTTTCAGCTTCTTTTGCTGAAGCTTAGCCTAAGCAAGGGGACAAATTTTAGACATTTTATCTCTATTTGAAGCATGCCCTGATAATACTTTAAGAAGTTCCAAAAGAACACCTTGTCTGAATGCTTTTTCTTTTAGAACTATTCTCTCAGGGAAAACAAAGCTCCACAGGCATTCATCACAAGAATTCCTATAAACAGATCTGGTCAAGGTATAGTCCTGCATGCCTCTCAGCAGGAGCCAGGGCCCAGAGGAACAGCTGGAGTTACCACCAACTGCAGCTATAATCAAAATCCAAAAGACAAATTGTCTGACTCATGTTATGCTAAACCATGGGTTGTTCTGTCTCTGTTATGATGACACCTTTTTTTCTATCTCAGCAGGAGGTTGCATCTGTATGCCAGCAGTGCCAGCACTAATTGCAGCAAAATGTAAATGGTTGGTGCAGGCCACTCTTCACACACGTGTAGATGACCCCACACTGGTAATGCAGAGTCTTCTGATTACTAAATGTGCTCTTTTTTTTTTTTTTTCACAAACACTAACTGGTAGCCTTCACTTCATTAACTGATCAGGTTTCAGCTTCAAGACTATTTAATTATTTGTCTCACTACTCCAAATAAGAAGAGGTTCCATAATTCCTTTACTCTGATAGTTACAAACCATATTTCAACATTCAGATTCTAAAATTTTCTATGTGTTTTATCCTTACAATTCAATATCATTACAATTTCATTTAAATTTCTTTTCACCCTCCCCATTTTCTTCCAGCTGTGTTTATACATTGTGATTCTCTTATCCAAACTTCTCCTTTCCTAGGCTAAAATCCAACCTAGTTCTTTACATCTGCTGTTACAAGACAGATTTTATTTATCTGATTGTACCGGCATTTATTTAAACCTTCAAACATGCAAACATGTATGGCCAGAATTGTATACAATGTAATATACACACATATGTATCCTAAAATTGCATACAATGTAATAAACATACCCCATGTAAGCTCTCACCAGCTCCTTCTGAAGCAGTATAAGCAACTCTAGTTTTTCATAGAAACACTATATTTGACAGGCAGTAGGGAAGAATGAAGTCCTTTCATGGCTGTATCTCACTTGTGAGAGCTATCTACTGATCAACACCATAAACCAATGTTAGAACAATTATATAACATTTTGGGGTTTGTGTCACTATCATTTTAGTCATCAGATTCTTCCTTTGTGATGGCCAAACCAAGTTCTGTTTCAATGAACCCTTCCATCACTGTTTTATTAGCAAACAGTCTAAATACACATAAATTCTGATACAAAGTTCTTAACTGAAGTATTTAACAAAACTGGTAACAAGACTGGTTTTAAGGAAGTTCATTACCAACCTTGCTCTCTAAAACATATGCTAAAATATTTTATACTAGCATTGTATTACTGAACATATGTTTGCTTTGAATACTTCAAATTCTGCACGCCTAAAAAGTTACTCTATTTGTCAACAGCTAATTGCATAGCATTGCATCTAGATTGGCTGAGCTATTTAAAACCTTGCTTTCTTAGCCTATGACTTAATTTTTGCTAGTTCTTTCAGAATTACTGGCGAGGGATTATCACTTCCTTTAACTAGAGCACATTCACATATTCACCAATGTGCTCTCTGGCATCTGCTTCAAACTTCTGTGTGAGTTAACTCTTCTCCAAGTCTTTTGTAAACATTGCTTTAACATGCTTAAACCCCCAAAATTTAAACACCCAAATCGTAAGTATTAACCTATTAAAAATAATTACTTGAAATTGGTAGATGTTCTTAATGTATTAGTCATAATACCAGAGCCAATGCTGGACGCCTCGGAGATGACTTCAGTGTTACTGAACAAAATTCCCAGAACACAATCATGTCATAGAATAAAGACTAGATTTTCATCTATTCTGAACTGTTGCTTTTCACTAGTATATTTCACTTTGTAAATCTGCTTATAGTCATAAAGAAAGACTGTCATTCTGAATTTTACTTAGCAGAAAACACGCTAAAACATCTTCTGCCATGGGCTTTTGGTTCAGCTCTTAATAAAACTAATGACTAAGTAATCTTTCTGTTAAATTTCCCAATGCCTGAAGAAAAGAACAATACTTACTTGTAATTGTCATCTTCTACAAATTTCTGAAGTTCTTCAATGTAATGGACAGACTTCAAATACTTTTGCACATGGGGAAGTGTTGTGAGATGATCTGTGGAGTGTTCAAACAAACAAAAAACATTAACATTTATGTCATCCAAAATTATTATTTTTTCAGGGTTTTTTTTTTTTCTGATTCTTACGATACCTTCATGGAAAAAGAATTTGAACCTCCCTAAAAAATAAATTGGGCAGAAATACTACTTTGATTCTAAAAAGGTGTTAAAGACCTGACTGAGCAAAAGTGATGCTCTCAGTTATTAAAGAAAATACAGATGCATTTCATCATCATGACAGCTGGTGGATTTTATTAGATGCTATCTCGCTAGTGGAAAAAAATTATCTGCTGTGAAACCTGCTTGAATTTTTTTGTTCATTGTTCTTGGGAAAATTAAAGCCTACAGCCATAGGCATTAGTGGGTCTCATATGTCCAAGAACTGAGGAGACTTAAAAGTTATTAAATAACTAATTAATAATTACAATGCAGAATACCAAGAATGAAAGACACTAAGTTCAGAATGACAGAAAAACCTATTGACACATGGATCATGGACAGGAACATGCCTTGTAGTACCTAACTTAACTTCTGTGCTCTCATAAAGGTAACTGTTTTAAAGGCAGCCATTATCCCAGAATATTGTTTCAAGGTTATATTTTAATTTTAATCTAGATTTTAACAAAAGCACTCAAAATTAATGCATATGACTGCAGGAAGTTACCAAAACTGTAAAAAAGAAAGGGTCAATGAAATCGTGAGGTTTTTTTATCATCCAAAGTATTCAGAGACAAAATGAAACTCACAAAAAGGAAATGACACCTGAATAATCTAGCTGATCAGTATCATACATTATTATGTCTAGTTTCTACCTTGAAATACTCTAAAATACCAAAGCTGACAAAAAAGGAGAAGGGCTGGATACTTAAGCATACACAGTTAACATCTCACCTTGTTTTTTTTCACAATCTACCAATCTTTTTTTTTTTAAGCTCTCCAAAACAGCAGCATTTAAATTTTCTGAATTTGATTGTTTAGCTGCACTCTAGCTTGTTATACATTTAAGCAATGAAAAGTCATGCTAAGCCACCAAGAGTATGCTGAGTATTCATTAAGACACCAAAACCAGCACTTTTCTTGATATACAGCTTCACTAGCAGGCTAGAACTGTAGAAATTATTTTTAGAGTACAATCCTGTTAACAAAAAGAAACAACCCCTCATTTTCCTGACTTCATCCAGGAGCAACATCCGTGCAAAATCTTAGCACAGTTGAACAACTGCTGTATTGGTGGAAATATCTGTATTTCATTCTGTAAATATATCACCAAGACGCTAACAACAAAATGATAGCCAAACAAACACATTCCACACTCTAGACATCATATCTGCTGCAAAGTAAAGGGAAGATAATTGTCTTTGTTTGCCTCTGGTGGAAACAATATATAAGCCAAATGCAATAGCTGAACTTGAAAGTATGTCATTTGTACCCCACATGTAACTAAACTCTACACAACCTCTCTTACAGCTCTTACAATTTAGAGTACATGCTTATCTGCCCAATTTACTGCTAAGACTGAAGCTATACAGAAGTGGAAGCTACATCACTTACTAGCATTCAACTCTACCAACATTAGCCTCTTATGTTCCCTCAGGGCCAAAATGTGCTTCCACAATTTTGCACTTAAGTAATTTTAGTCAAGGCTTGATAGGCATAACAAAATTTACCAACCATAGTTGCAGGATACTTGCAGATCAGCTATGATTCGGAGAATATTATTCATTTGATTGGATCTTTGTTCATTCTCCATTATGCTGTCTGAAGCAGGATATGCAGAATCAATGTAGATTAAATCCAAGAGATAAATTCCTGAAACAAACAAATCAATCAACCAATTCATCTAGTGTTTCAAACAGAAACAGTTGCATAATTTTTAATTAATATAGCAGCCAGAAGCTGTTTACCCCCACTGCAGTCTGGGCCCATTAAACAAAAGAGAGCTTAGGATTTGCATTTTGAAAAATTCTGTAATTACTGGTTGAGTTCTATCCCCTTAAAAAGACAGAAAAGCATTTTGTACTTAGGCTACTGCCTACAATGAGCAATTTGCAGGATCATAAAAAGGACACTAAAAAAAGAGTGAGAGCTGCCCCAGCCAGTGGTGCTGACAGTGGGGAGACAATGCTGCTGGCTCCCATGACCAGAGACCACTGCAATGCTTCCTTTGTCTGCCACCAGTGTGGAAGATCTCCATTAACTTTTCTGCCCTGAGACTCAGGAATATTTTATGAAAATCTCTTGCAAGACTTTTTCTCACTCAAGCTGAGCTCACCACATATCTGTTTCTTCAGATCTCTGCCATCTTGATCAGTATGTTGCTCATTGGATCATGCTGTGTTATGTCCAGCCTTAGCCAGGCTGCAATACCCAATTTCTTTAGGTTTTTACCTTATTCATTCATGCATTCTGGAAAAGCCTTATACTGCTTAGGGAGGAATGAATGAAGAAATCATATGACATGTCATTAAAAAGACATCGAAGAGACAGACAAAGAGGTGGCAACATGCCAGAACAAATTCCGTTTGTTATGAACTGTTAAATGTTTTGCTTGGAAACCATAAAGCCATAAACTGTCTCTCAAGTCCCCAGTAACCTGTGAATTTGGACTACGAAAGAACCATATATGCCCATTAGACCCACTGATATGATAAATAGGAGAGTGCTTCAGTGACCAAAGGTAATTAAAAAACCCCACTAAAACAAAAAGGGCCATTTAGACCTTGTAAATGAGTGGAATAGAGCTGGATTAACAACTGAACAACATACAAACCAATGGGAATTTCCAGTCATGCAGGAGTTAAAGAAAAAAGATGCTTAGAGATCAGGTCAAGTTTTACAGTCTAGTTTAACCTTCTGCAATGACACAGATCAGTCCTTCAAAAATTTTCTTCCCCTATTAAAAATCCTCTCTTGAAGAAGTAATATATCTCATAAATATGAGCACAGTTTATAAAGCAGAGGTTCATATGACTCAGACTACCTTAAAAGTTTTATCTTAAGAGTAACCTGGGGTATTTATTGCTTTTACCCCAAAAAGCATTTTCGAAAAACCATTCTCAACTTATCTTCATTTCTCTCTCTCTGCACATTTCTACCTCTAGAATGACAGAATGAGGTATCATCAAAAGTTACAAATGTTTTGAGTGATTGTTTTATTTGTTCTCTTTTCTTGAAACAAAATGAAACAAAACCCTTCTGTTTTTGTGATTTGTATTACTAGTTTGCAGTTCTGAACTGTAGCAGCATGGCATATGGATATTGTTACTGCTACCAGTCCAAAGCATCTCTTGAGAAAGCCACTCGGGTTGGCACAGGCAGTCACCGTAAAAAAACTCACACACACACCATGGACAGGTCAGTGAAGAAAGACAGAAAGGGCCTCCTGTATGGTATTCCAGAGAGGTTTACTGCAATCCCACCGAAGGGATCCAGTGACAGAAAGACCCCAATTTCCTGCAGTGTCTCAGGTTAAGTATAGGGTCAGGGGCCAATAGTCTCGGGGCACAGGGGCAAGGCAAATGTCACTGACTATAGGGGATGAGGTAAATTTACCTAGTGTTCACAGCACCATGGGAGAAGCATTTTGTCTCATCCTAACCACTCAGGCTTTCTTGAAGCCTGTGGTGGACTCTTCCAGGGCATGTGCCCAGAAATTCCCCTAGTAGGCTCAAGGGCTTCCCCACTGGACCTACTGATTAAGTATGCCAATGTGATACTATTTCTCTCAGCTACAGTAATTTCCCAAGCTAAAGGATAAGAGAGTTTAAAGGAAGAGGGAGTAATTAGGGTTTGCTTTCCTAGATTATCAAAATATATACAAAAGCAGAGAGGTAAAAAGAAAAAAAAAGTAGGATTTTATGTGATTAGAAGACAATTTTCTACAAGTTTGTCAAGGGCAGCAATACCTGCTCTTTCTTTGTCCTTTTTCACTCTTGTGAAGATAAGCTATTAATCATACCAGTTTATTATATCTCATACTTAATTTCACTTATCATACTAGAGAAACATAAACAGCACTTTTGTCCTGCTTTGTTTCCACATCCCAGTCTTAGATTTCAGAGGGGGAAAAACAACCTCAATTATTATTTTCAGATTTTCTGAACTTTATCTGAATAAGGGTTTAAGCCACACTGGGAACTGCTTCAGCCATCATCCACACACATGAGAGATCCTAACACCTACACAAGGCCAGCATGGACCAGGCACCTTTCACCTCAGAGTGAGGGAAGAACTCCAGTTTCCCTAGTGTTAGCATCGCTTTGCAGCAGTTTAGCATTGAGCAAATCCTGAGACCCTGAGGTTTTGCAATGGCCTAGAGATCCTACCTAGACTGAGGTTCCAAAAAGCAGCTCTTCACTGTACCCTCTTGTCAAGTGGCATATCAAAACGTAGTTAGAGTTATGGCTGTAAAAATTCTATTTGCTCACAGCCTTTACAATGCAACTTGCCTTATGGCAGCCTGGGTCAAGGCCACTTTCCAGCTATTTTGAGCAAGTCTGAAGCTATTCTCATTGATATTAAAGGTACAAACACACTTCCACTCTGTAGCAGTGGTTGTAAGCACTTTTCGGGACAAATAATCTATTTTCCAGGACAACATACAGATGAGGACCAACACCAAAAAGGATTAAATGGTGTTAGCCTAAGCCTTGTAAATTCCAAATAAAAGTGTAAGGAAATGGGTTTTTGGCAAGTAGTGGGGTGCAGGAAGAAAAAACCTGAACTGATAGATGTCAAAAAAATTAAACGGAATGTAATATGCTAGAATATAAAAAGAACACATTATACACCAAGCTACACCTTTTCCATATTGTTCCTCTCCCTCTCTTCCTTTAAAGCAAGAAGGATAATTGGATAATTAGATTTTTACGATTTTTTTTTTAAACCTGGGCAGTGATATTTTAAACTCTTCTCAAAATATGATGTGATAGTAGGTGTAGATAAGAATCAGCTTATTTTGCACTGAGGAATGACAAAATTATTCCCTTCAGCAAAAGATTTCAAGACCCATTTCTCAAAGGAAAGCCTCAGGGTTGCCCCATGCCAAAGCAAACACACAGCACTAGCTTTTCAAACTTTGGCTCACATTTGTGCTACTGTGCACTGAAAAAAGCTAGGATGTGAGGCCATCGGGATATTTTCCAGAGGGTGAGCTCATAGGCAGTCTCTTCCACAGGCAAGTGTCATTTTCCAGTGATACTCACTTTTCTCCATTGTCACCAGAACTAATTTTGCAGCTGGATATTGTATGCAGACAACAGCGTTCATTCATTTATAGTCCCATGGAAGTAACAACACATGCTAAGGAAAAGCCTGGCCAAATAATCCAGGACTACATTTATTAATGAAAATCACCCTGTGTAAAGGGGACCAATTATTTTTAAGTTGGCAAAAGGAAACCATACTTGTAACACCAAGCTTTTAAACTTCTAGTGGAGAGATCAAACAAAGCAGTAATATTAGTAGCAGTTAAAAGAGATGGACACATTATAATGATAAAAAAGTAAACTTCAGATGTAGCAGTCAGTGCCACCAGGACAGCACACTTCGAGCGCTCCATCCACCAGACAACAATTTCCAAGACTAAATTTTACTGAAAAAAGTATTTATGAAGAACTGTAGGATGCAAACCTAAGTCTATGTACTTGTGCCTTGATTTAAAGTTAAGCTTCTATTATTTTCTTTATTCAGTACTCAAGGCTTCTGAGAAAACAGCACTGAGGCAGATAGTACTGATAAACAGTAGATAAGCAGTAGGAGTTGATGGGTACTAACAAACAGGTCTTAAGAAAAGAACTCCCAAGCTAAGGTTATTCAGTTTCACTCAATTTTGAAGAAGCTGAGCTGGAGCATGTAAGCTTTAAAATGTTCATGAACAGCTACAGTGTGCAATTGGTTCCTCATTAGGAAAGACTGACATAACATTCTATGAAAGACAAAACACTTTCAGTCCAGTAAATCACATGTACAAAATTATACTAATGAGAAAAGCTGGGCAGGTATTATTTTAAATAGCAGTAACAGAAACAAAGAGAAATCTGTTTTCTAAGGCATTTCCCTGCAAGTTAGAAAGCCTGGATTTAAGTTCTCTGTTCTGTCACAGATTTCTTTGACCTGAGCAGCATCATCTATTCTTAACCATTCAGAATTTCAAGTCTCTTTGTGGGTTTATGACAATTTGCAGTCACAAGGTATAATCCAAAACTTACAGCACCTAAAACTGTTTCACAAATATACACTGTTGCAAAACCCATCATAAAAAATTCTGTGCAGATAAAGATTGAAAACTTGCATCATTATTAACAGTGTCTTTTTTTTCTTTTTATTTTTTTAAACTTCTTGTATAACAAATATAAAACTATACTGTAAAACAGTAGGGCTAACAAACCAAAAAAATAGCTTTGGTTTTGTACCACTACTGCATACTTGATGTATCTTTTCATGCACAATGCTCTGTTAAGGGTCTGCCCCTGAATGCACATAGGCTGCCATGTAACACAGATGCCTGGGCATGGAGCATTCCTCCAGTACAGGAAGCAGGGTCTGCAAGACAAGTAGTAAGTGGCACACGTAATAGAAGAGAAACTATGGAAAGTAATTATTTTCCATTTTCACTGCTCACAAATTGAATAATGACACTGGTTTGATAGGAGAGCCAAGAAGAAACAAGGGTATGTTTCCAATTTGTAGACAACTATATTTATGAATGCATTTTCCTACATACAGTAGTGTGGTTGTATCACACTAAACAAAGCAGAGGACAGAGGGACAGTAACTTATCAATTAACTATGTGGTAAAAAGTCCAAAT